CACACACACGTGTGCCCGGGGAGGAGGGGCACCCCTGCAGGCCCCTGCCTGCTGCACACAGGCCGCACTGGGGTGGTTCGCACAGCTGTCTCAACAGCCCTGGCGGCTGATGGGGGCTTGGTCGGGGGTGGGTGGGCAGCGAGAAGCCTTCGTGAAGCTGCCCCCGCGGTGGCTGCCAGCGGGCCTGTCACTTCCCAGCAGGTGCTGATGCCACACGTCGGCCCCGAGGGCTGGGCTGTCAGGCTGCAGCCACGCGGGCTGTCTCGAGCTGGACTCGGTTCCCCACTCCCTCCCCCGGCTGAGAGTAGAGAGGCTGTCTTGTGGGGACGAGAAGCCCCCACGCCCCTGTCCCTCCTGCGTCCCTCGCTGGCTGCAGCCCTGTTCGGCAGTGACTGAGCAGGATGGCAAGGTCACGGTGGGGGACCCAGTGGGACCCTCTGGCTCATTTCAGGGGTGAAGGGGTCAGTGAGTAAAGCGTGCATCCAGCCTTTTCCATCAATATGGTCCCTGCACTCTGTCCTCTGCCAGGCCCACCAGAGCCAAGAGGGTAAGTAATGTTCCCATTGGCCTGGGTACCATTTCAAGAGGCAGGGGCAGTTTCACTGGACTTTTTTTAATGACATAATACATTTCTCTGGATCCCTAGTTGGGGTTTAGGGGATCCCAGGCTGGGGACCAGAGATCCACAGGCTGCCCCTGAGTTGCCAGCCAGTAAATAAGAAGGCTGAGCCCATTCGGGAACTGGGGTGTCTTGACAGCAAAGAGCTGTGCTGGGAGGACGCTGGCACTCAGGAACTCAGTTGCAGGGGGCGGGGGGGCTGGGCAGGGGGGAGCCAGGTGAAGACAGCAGCTTCCTGACGCCGCTGGACGAGGGAAGTCCGGCCGCCTCGGCCGCGCACCAGATGGACCCTGCTCCGGACACTGGGCGAGGCTGGGTCCCAGAACTCTGCAGCCCCCGGAAGGGAAACCTCTGGGTGGCAGCAGGTTCCACCCGTAGGCGTGGCGACACCAGGTGCCCCCTCCTCGGCACAGAGGGGCACCAAGGGCCACGGGGCAGGGCTCCAGGAGCTGCATCTCACGGCCACCAAGGGGAGCGCCTGGCCCCAGCAGGCCCTGCGGAAGAGTGTCGTTTCTCCTGCTGTCAGCTCCAGGAGACACAGTGGTCCATCTCCGTGGCTGTCGTTAAACTTAGCAAAAACAAGATGGCTAAATCAATAGCCTCCCGATCTTTGCTGAATGCTTTAAGAAGGAACCACTGCAATGCCGATATCCTTGTGTCCAAGATGACATTCATTTAATCCGACTTCCCTCTTCCTTCTGTGGGTTATTTAGTGCTGCTACCGGTTCAGCAGAGCAGAAAAGGCACGGGTCGGTGTGGAGGGGAGTTTGCCCACCGAGCCCACACATGTCTCCTGAGCTTGCCCCGCCCTGCACACACCAGCTCTCCTCTCCAGACCTCTCTCCTGGGTCCCCAGTTTCCAGCCAGGGGATGCTCTTCTTTGGAGCTCCACCTCTAGTTTGGGGACTCCTGAGGTCCCAGATTTGACCAGTTTCTTGCCAAACACCTGCTCTGGTCCAAGAACAAGCTGGACGTCTTGACATGTGAGCTTTTATTGAATCTGCAGAGCAAACCTGCAAAGTAGGTGTCGTCCTCGCTGCACAGGTGATGCGACCAGGACAAGCTCAGCGAGCGCCCAGCGCTCCCGCAGACTCCACACGCAGGGCGGGAGCCCAGCCCAGGCCTCCAGCTCCCAAGCCGGTGCCCCTCCCAGCCGACACAGTGCCTCTCTAAGGGGGATGTGCAGGCGCAGTGCGGCCGGCACAGCTGGAGCAGCCTAGGTGATGCCCACGGACGCCCGCACTGTGCACGCTGGGGAGCTCCACACCAGCACGGGAGGGGTTTGTTCCACCCCACTGGTCTTGGCCCATCTCCCGCACGTGAGCCCGCAGCCTGGGAGACGCGCACCGCCTCTGGTTCCCGCGGTCGTCTGCCTGTCGGGGCGAGGGGCTCAGGCTGGGGAGATGGTGGGAAGGCTCCTCCTCCCCCAGCAAATCTGGTCCATCACCGAGGCTTGTCAGTTCTCCTGTGGGTCCCTCAGATCTGTCACCTTCCCCATCCCGCTGCTGCCTCCCTTGTTTCTCACTCTGTAGCCATGGCCATGGCCCTCAAGGCGGAGCTGAGCCGGTCACACGGGGCTTCAGACCCCTCAGCCGGCTCCCCCTGCTCTTAGCTTGAAATACAGACTCTTCTGCCGGCTTCCAGGCTGTGACCCCTGCCCAGCCAGGGCACCTGCCTCTCACGGCTGGGCTCACCCGATGGGAGGGCTGCACCCCATCCCCCAGAAGCAGACGGCACAGGGGCCAGCCGGCGTCCCAGCGGGGCGCCCACAGGCTGGGGCAGCAGTGAGAGCAGGGTGGGTGGGGGGAGTGTCTCCTCCCACGTTCTGATGACCTGGTTGGTCCTCAGCAGATGACGGAGGGTCACCCGCCTCTCAGCAGTGCCTACCTCCGCCCCCACAGCCCCAAGGCTCCCCGGTAACTCTCCCTGGGGAGGCTCTCAGGGACCCCAGTCCAGCTGGACCTTTGAGCAGATTTCCTCAGACTCCTCAATCCTCAGCAAACCCCCGGGGGCTTCAGGACCCCCCACGTAGGGGCTCGGCCCACGAGACTGGCCGTCTATGGTGGCGACAGACCCAAGGTGGGACTTGGCCTCTCGTGCAGAGGGCTCAAGCCACTCGAAGGGCCTGTGACCAAGCCGAAGTCCGGTCACGGAGCCAGGGGGCGTTAGGACTGCTCAGGCGCCCACGGAGTGGCCGCCTCGCCCAGCTGACCCGTAGCCTGGGCCCCAGAAGGGGGTGGAGGTCCCCGCTGCGGCCGCGCACGGGCGGGCAGCCTGCCCATTCACCCCAACCCCCACGTCAGCCACAGGCGCAGCTCAGGGGACACAAACACCGCAAAGAGACTGCCTGTGCTGTTGGCACGTTATCAGCTTTTATTTAAAAACATGCTAAAAACATGGCGTTCCACAAAGCCAGGACCAGGATGAAGGGAGCGCACACATCCGGCATCGCAAGCAGAAAAGTGCACTGAAACCAGCACGCATGTCCCCGCTCGGCCGCGCCGCTCCGGTGGGCAGGCTGTGGACTCGAGCCCCGGCCTTGGCTGCACGGGGCCCGGCCAGGGAGGGAGGCCTGGACACGCCTGGACCTCAGCCTCACGCGGCAGAGGGGGCTGGGAGAACGGGAACGCCAGAGGCAGGCTCTGAAGGGCCAAGGGGCAGAGTGGACCCGGGCACCCAGCCCCAGCTCCCGTCCTTGCCGGGTCCCTGCTGTTAGCACCTCCACCATCGGGTGGGCAGGGGCCGGAGAGGCGGGGACGTCCTTCCCCTCCACCGGGGCCGCTCTTTGGCCAGCGCAAGGAGGGATGGCCACCTGGTTCCAAATCAAGCCAGAACACCTGCGTGAGGGTCTGGGGCGGGTCAGCACCCTTTCCAGAGTGATAGGCCACGATGCAGGCCCATGTCGGCAGGGAGACGGGCTGTGCTCCTCCAGCGGGGTGGGGGGGGCTGTCGGCACCTACTGGGCTCCCTGTCCCTCTCCAAGGGCCATGCTCGGCCCTGCTCGCCCACCTCCCCTGCCAGGATGAGGCAGGCGCTTCCAGAAACCTGCAGAACCTTGGCCTTTGACGTCAACTCTGCAATCTGCCTGCATCAGACCCCAGGGAGCTCCAGCCCTAGCAAGGGGCCGCCACGGAGGGGGCTGACTCTGGTAGCTCTGCCCACGAGGCCGTCGCTGGGAGAAACTGAAGCCGGGCCACCACCACTGACATCACACGGCAGGCCCTCCGCGCAGTGGTGGGACCCCCCTACAGGACACGCATGGGGCCCAGAAGGGCCTCCAACCCCGTGCCCGGAGCCTGCTGCCCAGCATGGGCCAAGCCAAGTGACAAACAGCCAAGCACAGGGCGAGGCAAGAAGGCAGTTTTTGGAACTGTGAACAAGGCTCTGAGGACAGACGGACGAGGTTGGGGGCTGGCAGGAGGAGGGAGACTGAGGCAAGGGTCCCAGAGCCAGAGGACACCTGTGACGCTCCAGACACCTAGGGCGCCAGGGAGGCCATACACGCCCAAGGCGCTAGGCTTTTGCTGCTGATTTGAACAAAAATTAGAAATTGCATTAATCGGCATCAACAACCCCCATCACAAACTCATGACGCAGCAGGTCCCACTGTGCCTCTTCAGTGCTCGTCTGTCAAGGGGACCTCATGGTGGCCTGGTGGCCCATCTGCTCCAGGCTCTGCAGATCTGGGTTCCCGGGAGGCACTGAAGCCCTTCCCAGGGAGACAGGGCCAGAGGGCTGGGTGGGTGGCTCTCCGGCGCACCAGCCCATCCTCCACCTGAGGCCCTACCGGCAGGCTTTCCCATCAGCAACCCCCACTCCTGTCCCAGGAGGCGGTCTTTACTCTGCCCAGCCGTCTGAGACCACCCTCCTCTCCACTCCCCATGCCCCCTAGAACGTGATCCGGAACACACCTGAAGTTCTGTACTCCTGGTCCCAGCCATCTTGGACTTAAGGGTGGGGAGGGGTCGCTGGCTTGATGGCCAGGTCTCAGCTCTTAGAACAAACAGATGGAGGAGGCTGGAGAAGAGATGCAGCCCAGAAGAGGTCCAGATACTCAGCTAAACGGCATAGGACGGAGGCAGTGCCCAGGCGAGGCCCATCTGGGGATGAGCTCCAGGTGCTGGCTAGCTAGTGGGTAAACTTTCCATGCTCAGCCCCACGGATTCCTGACTTTTTTTTTACTGCAAAATTCACTTAGACCAGCATGAGCCCTGGTCGGGGCACCTCCCTGCAGTCAAACACCCCCTGCCCATCCATCTCCAGGCCCTGCCTCAGGCTGCTTTGTCCAGGGGCTACTGTAACAGGATCCCATCTGACTGCTCTTGGGTTTTCTGTACTTTTCCTTGGGGTCATGGAGGACGTGATCGCCATCCACCCCAACATCAGTGAACCCAGAGGAAGGAGATGTGGGTCCTGGGACCGGGAAGGACACCCTCCCCTCCCTCCCAGCAGGGAGTCAGCAGCCCAGGGACTCTGGCTGGGCCAGTCGCAGCACCCACCCCACCCGCTCCTCCTGGCAGTCACGGGTCCTCTGCCAACTATGTGAGCAGCTCCACATGAGGACAGCTTCCCCTTCCAGAAGCAATGTGAGAGAGCAGCATGTGAACTAGAGAGGTATTTGTCGGAGTTTCTAGCAGGAATGTCTGTGAAAGGAACGGGTTTGCGGAACCTGTCGCGGGAACGCCCGCATGGGATGGAAGGGGAGCCCCTCCCACCGCAGAGGGTGGGAGGGAGGAAGAAGGAAAAAGAGCTGCTCACCAGTGAAGCATAAGGACCCCCAACCGCTCAGCTTCGGGCCCAGCAAAGCACTCACAGCCCCCAGAGGGCCCCCTGCCCTGGCCTCTCGCACAGGCCTCGGCCGTCCCTCAGGACTCGCCTCCACACCGCTCCCGGCACCTCCATCCCACCTGCCTCCTCCAGGCCCCCACCTCCCAGCCCGCCCCCACCTCAGTGTGTCCTGGCGCTGCCCCCCACCCCAACAAGAGCCTCCCAAGTGTGCACTGCTGTCTGTCCCGATTGAAACCGTCCTCTGTCCCCACCCGTCCCCCGCCCGTCACCCACCCTCAGAAAGAAAACCAAACCGTTACAGAAATCAACGCAGTAAAAAGTTATAAATCAGAAAGCTAACCCTAAACTTATCTGAGAGTATTCCTGAATAATCGTAATCAGAGTAAAATAAAATAAAAAAGCTACACTGTAAGGTATAAAAAGCCTGGGCAAGATGCTCCCAGGGTCCTGGCCCAGAGGCGGTCAGCCGCAGCCCCACTAGCACACCCACTCTCCTCAACTCGGGCGGCTGTGAGCGCCAGGGGCCTTCGTTGGGCAGCGTCTCCACCAGGAGGAGGCGCTGCGATCCCCCCACATGGGGACAAAGTGTCAGCTGCGGAAGGGCAGGGCAGAAACCCATCAGTGCTGGGGGCTCCTAGAGCATGCCCCCGCCCACCCTGTCTTCTTTGGCAAATACACGGATGCAGGAATCGGGCAACTCGGCACCCCAGGTCTCTGCACCTCCTCCTCCCCAGCGTCCTCCCACCGAAAAGGCTGCGGGGGATGGCGGGGGAGGCGGGTGGGGAGGCGGGCGCAGGGGTCAGCAGTCTGGAGGGTGCGGGCAGGCAACACAAAGCTGAATTCTCCCCTGGTACAGTGTCCACGTGGGGCCGGGGCGCTCAGCCAGCCAGCTCAGGCGTCGTACTTCTTACCAGTCCGGTGGATGTGCTGGAACAGTGTCATGGAGAAGGCCATGCCCAGGACCTGAAAGGCACCAGGGAGGGGCCTGAGGCAGGAGCCACGGCGCCCAGAGCAAGAGGGGACAGCCCCTCGTGTGCCCAGAGGAGGCCAGCGGGGCGAGGACGGCGCAGAGCGGAGGAGGCCTCACACCGGGGAGCTCAGCCCCTTGGAGCCGTCTGGGCAGAGCATACCGAGCTTCTCGGGGCCCAGAAACCTGCTGTTTGGGAGCGTGGTGGGGAGACAAGGCCTGACCCTAAACGGCAGCTGAGTCGGGGAAAGTGGCAGGAACACTGAAAACCACCAAGTCACTTCTGTGAGGTTCTAGGTACATGGTGCGGAGTCTGGCCGCAGCAGACGCATCTCACCGCTTCTGCACTTAGGGGACTGTTAACGCCAGTCTGTGCCCCCTTGGCCCATGGACCCCAAGCCAGCAGGAGGCAGAGGATCAGGGGCACCAGCACACGCCGCATAGCGTGCCACTCAGCTCGGTCTCAAGGCAAACGTCCCGTGCTGGGGGCACAGGCCTGTCACCAGAAAACTCAGGGGTCCTTCATGTGATGCCAGCACAGGCCCAAGGCTCAGCGGGATGTGACGATGCTGTGGTAGGGCCCCCGCAGGGTCAGACAGGCACTGGAAGGGAAGAACTGTGGTGGGGGCAGGGGCAGAACAGCACACGGCTCTGGCTGCCTGGGCCACCATCTCCCTGGGGGTCTGTGTGCTCCTCCGGCAGGCTCTACCTGCATGATTAGGATGCACATCCCCACGGTGCCCAGCACGTGCTTGTTGTCGTCAAACCACATGGTCACCTTTTCGTAGCAGCCCTGGGGGCGAGGACCACAGGTGAAGGCGCTGGCATGACTGGGGGCCCTCCTGCCCAGCCCTCTCTGTCTCTGTCCCCACTCTTTCCTCCTGCCTTCCCCAGGCCCCTGCCCGGTCCTCCGGCCTTTGAGCAGGCCCCACCCCTACCCCACCTACAAGACCCCAATGCACAGTCCAGACCCTGGGCCACTCTGACTCCCCAGAGTGGACCCAGACTCCCATATCCCACCTGCCTTTTGGCTTCAGTCCTGTGTGCCCCCACCCATCCCACGTGAAGCCATCTCCTTGGTGTCCGGGCCCACCCTCCCAGGACCATCCACCGCGTGGGCTCCTGGGGGGCCAGGGCTCACCTTCTTCCAAAGCGGGGTGGTGCTGTTGCGCCCACAGCCCTGGGAGTTCTCCATGCAGCAGCGGTCGGGGACCGTGTTCTCCCCCAGCACTGGGTACCAGTCCCTGTAGTCCGTGACACCACAGCAGTGCATCTGCAAGGTGGGGGGGCGGGACACACAGGTCAGACAGGCCACCCTGGGTCCTCTTGGGCCTCCCCTGCCATCCACCCCACGCCAACTGCCACCTGGAGTTCAGCCTTCTTGTGCCCAATTTGGCCCTCCGCTGGGCCCGCAGAGGAGGAAGTGAAAGGTCCTTCCAGAGGCCAGAGGGCAGAAGGCCACGCCACCTGCCCCTCTGAGCCGGGCGCTGGGCACCTGGCAGGGCGCTCAGCCCTCTGCCGCCAGTCCCCTGGGCTCTTCCTCCCAGGCTGGCGGGAGCCCCTCCCCAGGGCCCCACGGGGGGCTGTACTGATCATCTCCTCTTAGAAGCCTAGCCTCTTCACCTGAGCCATGATCAGGGAGGCAAACCTGCTGCTAAAATAAGCTGCCGTTGGTGCGAGAGCTCCAGAAAGGGAGGGCTTGGACGATGTGTCCTCGATTATCCGTCCGTCCCAGCTCCCTGCTCCCCACTGCCGCTCGCCTCGGCTCCCGCAGGCCTGCCCTCTCCTGCGTCCAGTCCGGCTCGCCTCCCTCCCAGCCTCGCCCCTGTCTCCACTGCGAGGTGTCTGACCCAGAAAGCGCGGGGTCTCCTGGGCAGAGTAAGGCCCGGCCCCTGCCCGCCCCGCCCACTGTGCGCTGCCCCGCCCCTCACCTCGGCCCCACCCGCTGTGTGCTGCCCCGCCCCCTCACCTCGGCCTGGATGATGTTCCAGGCGTTCTTAAGCCCCACGTTGTCCTCCGAGTTGTACAGCAGCAGTCCCTCCTTCAAGTCCCTCCTGGCGTTCTCGTTCACCTGTCAGGTGAGGGAAGGCTCAGGTCGGGTGGGACACTCCCCCCAGCTCGTCCAGGTCCACCAGAACTGCGGCCACAGCTCGTCCTCTGGGGGAGGCCCTGCCAGCCCAGTGTGGGTGACGCCTTGGGGCGGGGTCGCACTTCGGGGCCAGAGCGGCAACTGTCAGAGGCAGAGGCATCAGAGCGCCTCCACTCCCCTCATCGCAGGACCAGCCACACACAGGCAACTCTGCCACCAGGCCCACAGCATCGTTATCCCCAGTGCTGCCGCTCTCAAACCACAGCCTGGGATCCACAGGAGGGCAGGCCAGCCATTCTGAGCATGGGCCCACCTCTCGCCAGCAAGTAACTTAGACCCTCTCACCTCTGCTTTCCCTGTAATACAGGAAAACCGCATCTACCTCTGGGGCCGTCGGGAGAATTAAAGGGAATGACTCCCATAAAGAGAGAGGAACGGGGCTGGTCCATGAGATCTCTCAGTGATTACTGCCTCCCTTTCACAGATCTAAAAGAATTATCGTTTCTAATCCTAATAATGACTCTCCCTTTCAGTGCAGCTTGGCCAATCCTTCCTGGTGGTCAGGTCCCAGGGGAAGGTTCCCCAACTTGACTGGGAACTGTCCAGCACAGTGGGGTTATCAGGGGTCACCCCTCCTCCTCCAGACCCCAGCACAGCCTGGGAGCGGCTGTCCTGTTCTCAAAGGTCTCCACAAAAGGAAGCACAGCTCCCTCCACTTTGAGCCCTACCTACAGTGTCACCTGGAAGGTTCCACCTTGTCACCCTCCAATCACCCAGCCCAGCCACCGAGCCAGCTCTGAGCCCTTCTCCTAGTGATCAGCACAACTATGCTTGAGTACTCCTGGGGATGGGGAGCTCAGCCTGCAGCATCCCTGGGTAATTTAGACGACTCCAGGACTACACGAGGTAATGAGCCACCCACACTGTCCCCACCAAAGCCTTCCCGGGGCCTTTCTTAGCTGTCGCCTCCTCAAAGGTGCGACCTGCCAGGGCCTTTCCTCCAGCTTGCCCTGACCCAGCCCCAAGGCAGTGAAACTCCTACACCTCCTCCCTTCCGGGAGGGCTCACCTTGTCCATGTAGACAAAGAAGAGGATAATCAGGATCAGCTCTGCCAGGAGGATGATCAACAGCACGATGAAGAACTGGAAAGAGAAGGTCCAGGCATGGGCACAAGGCAGAGGTCATGGCCGGGGATGGGGTGCAAACAAGGATGGCAGGGAGGCAGTGGGGGGAGGCAGGGGATGGGTAGCACCTGGACAGGGCTCCCCAGGCCTGGGAGAGGCCACCGCCTCCTGAGGAATCCCAGGTGGACAGCAGAGAGAGAAAAAGTAGACAGCCAATTGAGGAGTGGGGGCAGCTGGGGAGGGACAGCCAATCATAAGAGGGGTGTGGTCAGGTAAAGAACATTCCAGAAGCAACTTCCCTAGGCTCCAGCTGGGCCCCCAGTTGGCTAAGTGGCCCAGATGCAGGGCGATCCAGAGCCTGGAGGGCTGGGGGACTGGGGTCCAACTTACACTGAGGAGGAGGCACCTGTTCTCCTTGATGGCCCCCAGGCAGCCCAGGAAGCCCGTCACCATGACGACGGTGCCTACGGCAATGACGAGGTTGGCTGCAGACAGCGAGGGAAAGCTGGGGGAGAAGGTGGCAAAGTTGCCTTGGGACACGGAGAGCCAAATGCCCACTCCGAGCAGCCCACAGCCACAGAGCTGGAGAGAGAGGAAAGCCCGTTAGACCGGCACGGCCCTCGTCTCGTCCCCACGGAACTGGAATGCATGTCTCCCACCCTGTTCCCCACACCCTCAAACGTGAGACTCAGGGTAGAACCAGGCCCAGACCACGTTGCGGTGTGACTGACACAAAGGCCCCAGCCTCTCTGGGTCCCAGCCTCCCCGTCTGACAAATGGACCACATCAGCTTCACGAACTTCCTATGGTCACTCCAATGAGGATGGAATTAAATAACACACGGGAAAGCGTGGAACAAATACGGAAGGTTCTAGATGCACATGATTATTCCACTTGGCGGGGGGGGGGGGCCCTGGCAGTCAGGAAGGCAGCCAGGGAGGGGGCGCACGGTGGTTACCAGAGTAAGCAAGGGCTCGTCTCTGGGGTTGGGGAGAGAACCTCGGAGCCCAGCTCCTCTGAGCCAGATCTTGCAGCGACTGTCCTGCTGCCCTGACCAGAAGGGCCACTTGCCCGCTGTCCTCAGGAGCGTGAAGAACAGATTTCACACTGATGGAAATAGAAAAGAGCTCGCTGGCCTGGCTGGGGGTCTGGCCGATGTGCAGGACATGGGTGCACCATGCCTCCGCCTTCCAGCCCAGTGAGCCAGCAGCCGGCAGCTGGCGCTTGGCCCGGCTCCCGCCCTCCTGCTTGGCCCCTGGGGGCTGCAATGCCATGGAAGCTGCAGTTTCCTGTTTCCCGGGTGGCCTTGTTTTACGCCCCGTAAACTGATGTTCCCCCCACTGCCTCCAGCAGCCCAGGGAAGTCCGCTGGGTCTAAGGAGCCAGTCCATCAGTCACCCAGAACTTACTGAACACAGCTTGCAGCATCTGTGCTGGACACAGAACAAGGACCAAGTCAGAGCCCTGTCCTTCCCGGGGCCTCCGCTGGGCCGGACGGGAGCAAGGAAGGAGCAGCACCCCCCCCCCAGGCTGTATGCACTGGCGCCAAATAAATGACACAAGCGTCCAGGTGCCAGAAGGAGGAGGCAGTCCCTCAGCATGGTGGGCTTGGGCAGGGGGACAGTGAGATACTGTCACCCACCTCCCCGACCCACTTCTGGGTGAGAATCTAACGTAAAGAGAGTACATGAGGAGAAGGCCAAGGCCGTGTGCCGCCCTCCGGGAGGCATTTCCTGGGCTCCCAGGAACCCAGCCTGCCCCAGCTCTCGCACTGCCCCAGCTCCAGCGAGAGGACAGACAGGCAGTGAAGACTGGGTGGCCACGAGCTGGCGGAGAGCTGGGAAGGCCAGGCAGAGGCAGCGGCTGCCCAAGGAGATGGCACTTCTCTCCCACTCAGTCCACAAGCCCACACGGAGCACTTCCTCAGTAAAGCCAGGCCCTGCCCTGAGCGCGGGGGAGACGGGGGCAAAGCCCTGCCCTCGGGAAGAGGGGACTCGTGCAGGGGACACAGGCGTCATATAAAGCACACACACAGCAGAACCTCAGGGGCCGTGAAGAAAAAGAAGGATAAGAAGGAGTCAGAAAGTAACTGAGGGCGGGGGGTGGGGGTCAGGTCAGAAAGGCGGGATTTGAGGAGGGACCTGCGAGAGGGAAAGTGAGCCACGTAAATAATGGGAGAAGGACGTTCTAGAGAAAACAGCAAGTGCAAAAGCCCTGGGTAGGAGTGTGCTTGGCCAGCCAGGGGAGCTGGAGGTGACAGTGGTGACCAGCAGGCGGGACCTCATAGGCATCAGAAAAGAAAATGGTGTTCTCGGTGGGATGGGAAGCCAGTAGCAGCACAGTGAGCTGACCTATGGTTTCAATAGGTCACTCTGGCTGCTGTTCGGAGAACAGTCCATCAGAGGGCAAAGGGGGAGGTGCGTGAGCAACCAGGAAGCCACTGCAGCGACCAGGTGACTAGATGGGGCTGGTGGCCATCTCCAGCAGCTGGCCATGCAGGAGTGCTGAGAGGTGGTCCAGTTCCAGGGGCATTTGGAAGGGCTTTCTGGGTTTCAGCACACGAGGAGGATTTCGATAAACCAGGAGACGGAGGGTGGCGCAGACCGGGCACGGCACGGGAAGCGGGGCCATTCCCACACGTCCCTACACCAGCTGGTTCCAGGAGCTGCAGAGATGGGGTGGGGTGAGTGGAGCAGGTGCTGGGTCCCCACGCTGTGGAGAGCAGGCCTGCGCCCCGTGCCCTGCAGCAGCCCCAGGGGGACGGGGCCAAGGCTCCCGGGTGTGGGCACACCAGACCCAGAGCACCCACCCCACAGGGTATCCAACCAGCTCAGCTGCGGACGGGGCGCCACCACCCACACAACCACCAGGTGGCGCCCCAGGCCGGGTCGGAGCTCTGGGTTTGCAGAGAGGCACAAAGACCTGTCCAACTTGTCACCAACTCCCTTCAATCTGGTCAGTTTCTATGCTGCTGGCTCAATTTTTCTTTCATTAATCACACCATGGAAATTCATGCTCTCCATGCTGAGGATGGATGGCTGTAAACGCTAGACCCTGGAATGAATAAGAGGAGACCCCACTGCTGCCTCGTCACCCGCTACAGATAAGGAGCCTGGCCTTGGGGCCCCTGCAGCCGCACAACGCCCTCCCACCCTGCGCTGGAAACACCAGCCCCCCGGCCCCTCCCCAGCCTGGGGGAGTCCTCGGGGTACCGCCAGGTGTACCACGCCCTTGCACAAGAGGGACTCCAGCACCTGTGGACTTGGGTACCTGCAGGGGCTCCTGGAACCAGTGCCCCTCAGATACTGAGGGGTGACTGTTCAACTGTCCCCCGAGGCCGGTTTCCGCTGGGAGGGGGCCTTGTGCCTCTTCTCTCCATGTCCCTCCTGGGGGAGGGGCTGTGAGGTCAAGGGAAATCTCGACAGCTCAGAAATTCCAGAAGCGGGTCATCTCTGACTTCACACTCGCCGACCTCTGATCTGGTGCACCAGCTCCCTAGAGCTTGTTCCCCGAGCCCCATGTCTGCTTCCTCCTCACTTCCTGTCCTAGGTCACCTTGCCCCAGGGTAGGTCCCAGGTAGGGCCTGCTGCCCCCACCAGCAGCCTGGACCCAAGTTCCCCAGCTGTCCTCTCCAAGCTGCACGCCCAGCCCCACCCCGCAAGGCTGCCGCTGAGTGAACGAGGCCCTGCAGGCAACGAGGAGCCCTGCTCACCGCATATCCTCCTGCTGAAGTGGATGGACCCCTGCTCCCATCTCTGACTCAGAACCAGCAGAGTCCTTGGGCCCTAAGTTCACAGATTAGGACACTGAGTGGCCATCATACCACCACGCCGGGCCCAGGACCTGGCCTCCTGGCTTTTGGTGCAGAACCCCGGTGACACCACCGCACTAAGGAGACCATGAGTGCACACTGAGCCCCTGACAGGTGAGAGGTGCCAGGCCAATGCCAATGCCTGAGCCCCACGTCCAGGTCCTGGCCACGCACCCCTGCCAGCCTCTGGCCTCTGTTTCTCAGCCCAGCCTGCAGAGAGCTGCCTGAACCCTTTTTCTACAACACCTCCTCCATTACACTGCTCCCCAGTGTGACACCGAGACGCTCCCTCTCTGAGGCCCAATTTCCTTTAAAATGTGGCATTTGGACTAGAGAATTTCTCAGGCCCCAAGCCTGAGATGCACTGGTCTCTCCCCAAGCCCAGTGGTACAACCAGAGTGACTTTACTCCCAGGGACGGCCGGCTGCGTCTGAAGGCGGTTTTGTGGTCACAATTTGGGGAGGAGGAGCTGCTGGCATCTTAGTGGGCCAAGGCCCGGCATGCTGCTAGGCATCCGAAAGGGCCTGGGGCAGCCCCCACCACACAGAACCTTCTGCCCCAAATGCCAAGAGGTTGAGAATCCCTGCCTGGGCCCCGCACCTGGGCCAGGTGTCCACCCTTTGGCTATGGCCTCCCGGACAAGACGGCCACCAGACAGAGAATCTGCGGTGGTCCTCCAGGGGCGGGCAGCACCCGGGCTCTGAGAGGGATGACACACACACACACGAGGTGAGGGCCAGGGCGGGGCAGTCCAGGGGCTGAGGGCCAGGGCAGGGCAGTCCAGGGGCTGAGGGCCAGGGCAGGGCAGGAGGGAGGGGTTGACAGAAGAAAGGGTTTGCTAGGCAGGAGGGCAGGACCACAGGAAGCCACCTCTGAAGGCTGCGCAGGGGCGAGGAGCGGGGAGGGCGAGGCTGGACGGGAGGAGGGAACACAGGGAGCGGGCAGGGCCTGCAGTGACACAGCCCGGAGCTGGAGAGCCTAGCGGGTGGCATTTGGGAAAATGCCCTTCCAAAAGCAGAGGCTCGTCTCGGCTGAGACAGCAGGCCAGATTCAAGCCCAGTGCAGGAGGGAACTCCGGGGTGAGGCGGGTGACTCAGGGGACGGGGACCAGCCACCTTGCGGCCTCCGGGCCTGGTCGGAGGCCCTCTCCAAGCGGGGGCAGGCCTAGGGGCCACCCTGGCCACTAAGCCTCCTGTCCCTGCCCTGCCCCCACCCAAGGGCACTTGTAAGTATTTCCCACTCAGGCTCCAAAGGAGCCCAAGTCCAGATAGGAGCTAACAAGTTCCACCCTTGGCTTGCCCTGCCTTGCTCTTTCCAGGGGCCAAGGTTTGGGTCTGTTTTGTCTGTTACTAAATCCCCAGGGCCTAGAACAGCACCTCCCCTTGGCAAATGCCAGTGGGTCCCCCTCCTCCAGGCTCTCCCATTTGGGCCCTCTACTGACCCCGCAGAAGGGAGAAGGTACAGCCCCTTCAGAGTCTCGGCATCAGGATTCCTCATCACCCTGGGCCCATCCTGCAGATGCCCAGCAGGCAGAGTGAGGCCGGCAGGCTATGGCCTCATTTATAAAGTCTGCTGTAATTAGCCAACACCCCATGGCATGTTCCCGATCTTCAGTTGGAACCATATTGATTTATAGTTTTAATATAGTTTAATATAGTTTCTGCCATGTGTCCTTATGTATTTTTTATGCAGCATCCCAGTTCTGTGGGGGTGAAGCCCCCTGAACCCACCTCCCTCCTGAGCTCCCGCCGCCGCTTGCTTAGGGCTCCGGC